AGCTCCTCACGAATACAATCCAAAAGCATGGTAAGAACAGTAAAATAGCAGGTTACTTATGTCCACCCGTGAGCACTATGCTTATAGTACATATTCTAAAGCTACATCATCTTTTCCTATAGTCTCCTTGCACTGAGTTCATGGTATGTGCTCTACCAAAGGGAAAGTCATGTTGGAAAGGGGCTCAGTGGGAGAGTAAGTGCGGTGAGAGGGTAATGGCCTGCGTACATTCCATACATGTGAAATGATGATAAATGCATTTAATAAAGTCGGTCACAAGTTTCTAGTGTTTACACTGCACCTGTCTGTAAAGCTCTAAAAAAGGAAAACTAATGTGGGGATAGTAAGATGGCTCCATAGTGTAAAGACACTTGCCACCAAAGCTTGGTAACCAACCTGAGCAGACCCACAGAACCCACATGGTAAGGGGAGCCAAATTGTACAAGTCCTCTGACCTTCACATACAAACCATTAACATGAAAATGTACATACACGTGTACATGCACACAAATAATTAAATGCCAAAACATCCCTAAAGACTAATGTATTTTGAACTTTGGCTACTTTTGCAGAGGATCCAAACTCAATTCCCAGCACCCACAGTGCCTCACAGCTGTCAGTAACTCTCTTCCTATCTCTACAGGGATAGGACACAAAAATGGCAAATAGATATACATGCAAGGCAAAACATTCACACAACCAATATAAATTTTACATATTCTTAAGTATATGTATGTGTACATACATACATTTTTGTATGTGCATATCTGAAAGGGTATCTCAGGCTAGTCTCAGACTCACATAGCCACAGATGACACTGTACCTCTGCCTTGCCAGTGCTGTCCACCATTACACCTAGTTTATGTGGTGATGAGGACTGAACCCAAGACTTTGTGCGTGTTAGATGAACACTCCCATCTGAACTACATTCTGAGCCATTTTTTTTCCTGTTCGCATCATGGATCTTACTTAATTTTATTAGCTCTGACTAGACAGAAAAATGTACTTTTTAAGTATAGAAACTATGACTCAATTTCTTTAATTTATTTCATTTATTTTTATTTTACATGCACTGGTGTTTCGCTTTCACGTGTGTCTGGGTGAGGGTGTTGGAGTCCCTGGAACTGGAGTTAAAGAAGCTGTAAGCCATCACGTGAGTGCTGGGGACTGAATTTGGGTCCTCTAGAAGAGCCAGTGTTCTTATCCACTGAAACATTTCTCTAGCCCCATGACTCAGTTTTTAAGTGAACTTTGGGGGAAATTTATAGAAACATTCTGCTCAATGTTAGGATAACTAAATTAAATTTCTAGTTTTTAATCACTTGTGTGAAATAAAACAGAGAAGGAATGACCACCAAAAGAAAATCCCTGGGGAGCAGAAACCACCCTACAAGCCAGGCTGCTGTGCTGATCCGCCTCCTGCCACCTTTTAACGAGCACTGCATCAACAGGTTAAGCTTAATGCAGTAAACAGAAATTCCATAAGACACAAAAGACTGTAAAATGAAAATCTGGGAAACACACTATTGCCAAGCATCTCGGAATACATACCATTCCCTTTGCATTTTGCTAAGACCTACATAGATTTTTACTTCTTTCTTTGGAGGCAAACTCTTTTCAACATCAGCTTTAATTCGAC